CAAGAAAATCCCAGTAAAACAATAAACTATGTTATGGAAAATAAGGACCCTTACACAAGGCTACTCAACATTGTTTATACGGAACAACAAATTTAATCAGTAAAGTATCTAAGGCCACATGTATTTCATATCAATATTTATAATAATAATGGTACTCAACGTTAATTTGTTGGTTAGCATTTAATCTCTAACAAGTTAGTTAGAATTCAGTTAGGGAGAGAACAGAGACACGAAGTTCACCAAACTGGGATAATACGCAACCTGATGGTTGTGTGCAAGTTTTGGAGAAGGCTGTGTGCTATAGGCATGCCTTGATACTTTTTTTGTGCGTCGGTGGCACAGGGTTAGAAATCTCGCCACCAACGAGAGTGATTCGATCGCCAGTCAACGCACTCCTTTACCTTGCTAAGCCAATAATGGCTGATAAAGAGGGAAAGTTGGACATGAGGCCAGCAACCCTATCCCGTAAAAACAAATACCAACTGAGTGCTTATGTCAAAAAGTCTGGTTCTCAGTGATCTCCAAAGTAATAGAAGGTTATGGTTTAACACCACGCAACATTGAGGACTGACAACTTGTGTTAATTTTGATTCGATAGCTACATATAAGTATGTATGGAGAGAATGTTAACAAGGACATGAGGTTTGAATGACATAGTGAAAATTCGGTTGCAGTGCATTGAAATACACACTAAGTCTCTTTGAAAATCTTAGGCAGTTTTATCTGTCTCTTTTCACATTGATGAATAACCGCAGTTGATTGTACTCTCTTTCTTCACCACATGGGGGATATAGCTGGTCGGTTAGTGTATTCGACCCTTAAGGGATGTGTTGTGGATCCGAATCTCGCTCCACAAACTTCAGTCTGACAAGTGGGTAGTATCAGTTCAGTCCTTATGCAATAAGTGTTTATATGTATCTAAATAGCTAACTAACTACCCTAAGTAGCTTTACAGTCCTGCAGTCTAGGTCGCCATATTTTATGTCACATTAGTATCTTCAAATATGGTGGGCCGATGAGAAGACTCTAAAAGATCTGGACATCACGGACGATTTATGTCTAATATCACATAAACTCGAAAACTTACAGGTGAAGACCAACAAGTTGGCAGAAGAAGCAGTCAGCGAAGATAAGACTTTAAGTAAACATTGAGAAGACGGAGGCGATGAAGATCATCTAACAACCGACAACAACAAGCACGAATTACTATCAGCGGGATAAATTTGAAAAAATGTCGCTTCCTTCACTTGTCCACCTAGTCATCAGCATCGTTTCAAATACACACCGCCGATAATGATGACGATATCAAAACTACAATCGGAAAGGTAAGCCTGAATGACATCAATCTGCAATCAGTACAAATAACAAAGTCAGGATTTGTGACACCAGTGTCAATTCACTTCTTCTATATGGGTCAGAAATGTCGGGCATCACGAAGAGCAGACTATATTAGGCCACAACAGTCTTTTATCAACAGATGGCTTCGCCGGTCGCATAGTGAAAATCAGATGGTAAGAAAGAGTTGGCAACAAAAATCACTCAAGAACATGTCGGTCAACAAATATTCCAAAGGATGTGGATCAGACATACTCCGAGAAGACAGGCAACTGCTCGGGTGGGACCCGATTGATAAGCAATGGGTTGGGGGTGGGTTCGATAGCGATATGGAGATCGTGTGGACAATCGTGGTCCCAGCTAAAGAGGACTGCAGATAACAGAACGAAGTGGAAACGTGCTGTTGAAGTGTTTTGTTCCACACAGAACCCAAGAGAGTGATAAATATGTTCAAAAATGATGGAGAAATGGGTCGTTGGCTTAAGGACTCAACTTTCAGTCAGTGGGTAACAACTTTTTGAATTCCACTCCACTTAATTTTGCTTCAGCAATTGAGTGATAGTATCACGTTAGCCCACATACGTAACAATAAATGTGTCTCATAGAGCTTGGAAGATGAAAACTTATATTCGGGGAATAAGGCTAAAACAACCTTTTGAAAAACAGTTCCGACAAAGCGGTAAGAAAACGTAATTGATGTGAATCGTGCAAAGTATTCTAACAAGCAACACATTTCGAACAATCTGATTATTCACGTACTTGTTGTAGAAATATACATACATATATATAAGCAGGAAGCAATAGGGGAACAGATATATACGTCAAGTTAAAAAGCCATATCGAAGGTCAAAATACTAATGGAGATGAATAAACCAAAGAAGGTAGATAATAATAGTACATTTGACCTGATATCATAAGAAAGTTTACCAAGAAAGGTTTAATATGACTAGGAATTGTTTTTGAACATGTAAAGATGGTTCAAACTTCCTAATTGCGAGGGATTACCCCGAAATGCGTTTCATAGATAGGTTTAAATGATACGCCCTGTCTCGATAATATTTTTTGGCAATAGAAGGGTATAGTAGTCTGCATTCAGTGTCAATAGGTTCAGGGGGATTCCATTGGCTTCTGAAGCCCTTACTTTCAAAGATAGATGAGTCCTGCCCGCATAAATCTGACCACACGTAGATACAGTGGGGAGTGACATTATGTTTCCAATGCTCTAAGGGTTTATTATGGATATATATCCATATGAACTTCTCTGTAAAATTATTATAAGCCAGAGTTACTGTCAGTTTTCTTTTCTTGTCGTTGCATCAAGTATATTTTCTGTTGAATGCTACCCTAGAGAATTACCCTACCAATATCAGCAGAAATTCTGAGAAGATGCCTGTCGCGCTTACTGAAGGAAACTTTCTTCCTGACTGAACTCTGACTAACTTACACAATATAGCCAATGATTTGCATGGATCTCAAGGATAAGCTTTCACTAGCGGCCTCATCAGTGTGTATCTATCAGTTCATCTGCTCGTGTACAGCTAGATATTTTAGCCTTACTGAGCACTTGTTATTCAAACGTAAGATCGAACACCTACCGTCACAGTTTTATAAAGATTCCCCAGCAGGTCTATCCTGGAACACCTGATCGAATCTGAACACCAAGCTAACACACAAAGGCACTTCAAAGTTACCTACAGAATACGTAAGAATCTCGCGGGAAAAGTATTAATCGGACTTCTTTAAACCTCCAAAGCAATGGCGATTCACATGTTAAATCCTGATCTGTGCATACGAAAGGAGTTTGTTCAGTCACTAAATCTACAATCGGCCTGATCTATCCAAACACCAAACACGTAATTTTTGTTTTTTAATTGTGTTATTTTGTTCACTCACCCCCCTATTAAAAATCTACCCCTTATCACCACTGTTGTTGTCTTGACTCTCATTCAAATTTCAGTTGAATTCCACTCAACGTCGTCAATTATATTACGTCGATCAACTTATTTAATTTTACTTTAGCTCCTACCCGATTATTACTTTCTACAATATGTAATTTGTTATCCACGACAGTTAGTTCTAGCCACCTTAGGTAGGTGTAGACTTCCGCGTTGGGGCCATGGGGATGGTAAAAACCAATGGCTGGAGACAATTGTTGATATGGCTCAAAATCGCTCTCAATGACTGGTGCAGATGCATCCACTCCTTGTAAATTAAACTTTCCAACAAAAGTATTTTGTTCTTCCATATTGCTATTACCTTTGCCTCATATCTGTGTTTACTGTCTCTATTTTGCAGTTTTTTTTTACTTTCTTCTCTGCCTTTGTGCGGTGAGTGATGTGTGGAGACTCAAACTCCAGTGTAGCATGCTACAAATCGGTGCAAATTTCTACGTTGAGGTCAGTCAGTCAGTGTCTTAAATTTACACTTCTAAAGACACAGCTCTGAAAGTGTTTCTTTTGTTGCTACGATAGTTTACCAAATATATAAGCGACTGTACAGCTTGAGAATGATATCTCCGAGATGAGATTAACTCTCCAGTGAACGAATGTCTTTTCTGATTACATGACTTGATAGGGATTTCCAAATTAAACAGTGCGAATCAAGAAATCTCCATAATCTCTCTACTTTAACAATTGCAGGTTAACAACGATAGTCAAGTCAATGTAATGATTCATTTGATCAAGAAATCACCAATAAAAATGAATTTTCAACTTAGTTTCATTTTCATCTTCATGATTAATCTACAGAACTTTAATTCACATTGTGACTTTTTGTGATATCGATTGTCGACCAGCATAATGATTATATGAATAAGAACAAGAATAATAATTATCATTATGCAAGTATAGTGCAATGTGACTTTGAAAACTATTCGGCCAATGATGGTAATAATAATAGAGAAGAGAAGAATGGAATGACAGTCTTAAGATTAGGTATTCACGCACACACACACACACACGAGCAGACAGACAGGCATACAAATTCATGTATGCCGAGAGTCAGATGTATCTAACACACCCTTTTAAGATTTTTATAATATCGGAAAAATCAGTTTTTATTTCAGTTTGTCAACTGATCAACGGACACTACAACAATAACACACTACAAATGAACAAATAACATGCTACAAATGAAGGAAAGGCATATTGATTTAATAACTAATATAATAAATCATTGTGTGATTAATTCGATTTATCTGATGGTATAAATGCTGTTTACAATCTCTGTTCATCTGTACGATACAGCTGAAATTAGTCATATCATTTCATGCTAAGATATTTTTCTATTGGGTCAAACTTCCTTATAACTTGGTGGAAGTGTGTGGCAGGGTGGTGGTCCTTACTTGACGACTGCCTACACTGGAGTATTAGTGCTGCGTGACTGCGGAGGCCGGGGACGGCAGTTACAGGCGTGTTACACACACAGTGTGATTGAGTTGTGTTTGCATGAGGATCTCACCGCTGGCTATGGGGCGCCACAACCTAAGCCGGAATGTACAATATTCGGGGTCGACTTTTGTTTTTAACACCTTATCCTCAGAGGACAGAACCAGTCATCTAAAGACCATACATATTCTGGCCATACGCTGAACATAGTGTAAACGACTAACTTTGTGGTAATACCTGCTCTTAGTCCAACCAATATCCAAACAATGTTTCTAGCATGGCGAGATCTGCAGGAACACACGTCCCAGGCAGCATGGCTCATTAAGCGGCCGTGATATACAAGCCCGACCAGTCGACAAATCAAGACAACAGCTATCGGTTGGGCCTTGTGTAGGAAAAGTGTTGCGTATCAATTGGGGGAACCGAGTGAAGAGCTTATCTTCGGCTGATTCTCTGAACATGTACCAAAACATTTACGTCTCAAGGCAACAAATGCTATGGACGGTGCTATTGCCAGACATCTTATTGATACGGGCCTTGAGGTAGGCAGCATGAAATCCTTCAAGATTATTATTAAGCAATACAACTCTCCTCCACTCAAATTAACTGAAGCGATCGCCATTAAACCTTTAAAAGCTGAATTATGTGCTCAGGAACATTGACTTATTAGTCCTTCTTTGCATTGGTGACTCGATATCTCATCCCTTCATCTCAATCATCAACTTCTCGCCTCTTGTCTTGACTATGTAATTCAGTTTTCAATGTATCCGAACATTAATTTTGTATGTCTGAAATTTTGTTTGAACCTTGATCTCCTTTATAAGTTACATAAGTGGAAATTCTGAGCATTGTTCATTAACATGTGTGCCTCTTAACAAAAATCATATAGATCATTACAAGTATGACAAAGTTTTGTGTACATTTACATAACCAACTTTTAGGTTGTAAGCAACTGAACAGAATCCAACGGAATAAATGATGACCTCATATTATTCTATATAAACATTTGGTTTTTGCTGTTTAAAATTATAAAGAGGAATAAGTGCATGAAGAAATCTACACAGAGCGATACTGGTCGCCCCATGATGCAATACGGATACAGACAATTTCGATGTAGATTTTGTCAAGAATTAATATATCAGCTGGAAAAAATCAAGATGGATTGACAGGTATATGGCTGCTTCAGGAGTGAGCACACAGTAATTGTGAACACAGAACCTTCAGGTTAAGAGACCGGATTCATTAGGATCATTGGTATATTGTAACATAACCAAATCACAGAAATTACAACCCGTGAATCATTCAATTCGAATTCAGTGACTAAATAGTCAAAGGACTCACCTTGACAGCAGAAGGTCTTGGGTCCAATCCTTTGTAGAGTGGATCATGACTGTGTACTCCTGAAGAGTCTCAACCTAAGACAAAACAGATAACCAATGGTCGTGAGTTCTCAAATCTACGCTGAAACTTGTAGTAAGACAGCCGATGGCACCACCCGAATACCCAGAGTTGGTTGGGTTAAGGTTGCGGAGGGACTCAGATTCTTATGCTATTGGCCGAAAGCGGTGAGGCATGCTTTGCTAGTTAGGTACAGACAACTAACTGTAGATTAGATAACGAATATGAATGACATAATTATATTGAAATATGGATATTTAGCAGTTCCAGAGTCAAACTACACCATAACAACCATTCTTAACTGGAGTAGTAACAGAAGCAGTTGTATGACGTGTGCTACTGACAAAACTTTATAAGTAGGATATTGTGAGAGTGTGATGTCGCTTTTTGCAATAATATTGAATAGCCAAGCGACACATTAGACGGTGAAAGAGGAGAAATGAGAAACGCATTGTGAAAGAATACAAAGGAAACATAAAAGGAAGGACAATAGAAGTATAATCAGGAGAACATGTGCAAGTAGAGATTTCAATGCAATAAGGTTTCTCCTGTATTCCATTATAACTGTTCATCCTTTCTCCAAATGACAATCTCACTACCAAATACTACCGTCATCATGATGCCAGTGCATTCTTTGAGTCTAAGAGGATGCCCACTTTGATCAATATAGTACTTATGACAGTTCATAGGATCAATTTTGATCTTGTCTTCTTTCTCTGTTGGTTCTTTTGTTCCACGTAGTATTGAATGAAAATGATTGTCCTGGTTTGTGTGATATCCGTTCCTAATGATTTTAGTATTCTACATATTATTTCAGAAACATCCTTTATATATATATATGTGGTAGGATGACTTTTCTTCTGGTTTCTGAGAATAGTTGGATGAACTTATATCATCTTCTCATATGGCTCTTATTTGTTCACGTGTTGCGTTCACAGCCTCCACCAGGTAAATCTTATTCACCACCTTGACTTGGCAACAAGGGCTGCTCCTCACAAAAATGAAAGGATGAATGCGAACATTCGGCATCTACAACCGGACCGGTGGACATGTTGTAGGTCTATCTGGTGGGTGAATTGGAAAATACTGATTCCAAAGCTATAGTGCACGTATATATGGGCTTCACAATCCGAAGGGATTGAATAATGTCTGAACCTGCTTTGGTTACCGGAAACCATGGGAATGCGTAGCTTCTGACTCTCCCCTACTGCCTTGTGGATCAAACATCAGGTTAAAGACCTGGGTGTGGTGGCGGGGTCGGTCTCTTTCAGACAACCATCTATTTTAGTTTGGGCGTCTTGGTCGTATGACACCTCTCGTATAAACTGTAAGATTTTGTGTGGCGCATTTCTTGAATCCCATAATGTACCAAGGTTTTGTTTTAATAATAATAATGATAGTATAAAACTCACTTGAATTTGACCAAGACATTCACGATTTTCAATAGGAAAACGGCAATTAGCAGGAAAGTCATCCGGTATTTTAGCCATTGTATACGCTGGTTCAATTGGGAAAGCTGTTGGCATATTGATGAGTAAAAATTCCACTGGTAAAGGACGAGCTACACGTGTTACACAATTGCCATATTTATCGTTTGTCTGTAAAGTAAAAGTGTAGACGAGGAAAAATATAACGAGAGGAGTGATTTATTATTAATAAAGGATGTTAATTAACACAGGAAGAGAAATCTCCATATTCTAATTAAGAGGATTATTTTACCAGCTCATGATTCAGTGTTGCCTCGCAGTAGAATCCAAGAGGCGTGTCTTCTCCTATTTGAATCTTGTCTCCTCAGTGAGTCATGATGTTCTTAGTGAGACTCGAGACCAGCATCTATCGTCGTTTCAGCCATATAATCTCAATGGCCTAGTGCTGGATTCACTGGGAATTTCAGGCTGACTAAATTGCAACTTTATGCATCATTATCGAACAGAGTATGGAATTCCACACAAACCCCTGCCTAAACGTCATCAAATTCGACAAAGTCTTCGACAGACAGCGTTAACCGAGAAATAATTTGGAAACTACTTCAGCACTATGCCATGCATTGCTCAAGTCTTCATCAACCTCATTCAACAGCCACATGACTATACCACATGTCAGATAATCCACAACGGAAAAATCAACGAAGTGTTCTAAGTGAATACAGGAGTAAGACAAGGCTGACTGTCTATTATCACCGATGATATTTTTAATTGTGGCGGACAGAATTATGCGTCACATTGTGCTTATGAATGAGAAGACAGGAATACGTTGAACCGAAGAGAAGACTCTAGCAGACATGGATTTTGCAAATGATTTATGTTTAATGTCACTCAAACAGACTCGAAGACTTACAGGTGAATACCAACAAACTAGCTGAAAAAGCAGACAAAGCAGACGAGACTTCAGGTAAACATAGAGAAGACGGAAGTGATGAAGACAACCTACCAACCAACAACAAAAAACAGCACGGGAGGAACTTTGAAAGACGTTACTTTCTTCACTTATCTGCCTAAGCAGCATCGCTTCAACTACACAAAGGTGGAACTGATGAAGATGTCAAAGCAAGTCAGAACCCAAAAGTTAACACAAACCTACATCAGTTTGCAAGTCCTCTGAACTCAGCATAACCAACAACATTCGGATTTTCAACACATATGCCAAGTCAGTTCGTCTATATGGGTCAGAAATTTGGTTCATCACGAAGGGCATTTTCTAACAGGCCACTACAACCTTTTTTGTCATCAACAGCTGCCTTCGCGCTGGCTGTATAGTGAAAATCAGATGGTCGGTGAGAAAGAAACTATTGGAAGAACCAACCAAGAACATATCGTTCAACTAACATGTAGGAGAAAATGGATTGGACACTTGATACTGAGGAGACCACCATCGAATGAATTTGTGCGTCAAGCCATCGCTCCAGTATAATCCGAATGGCTACCAGTGAGTGGGTCGTCCGAGGGTGACATAGACGAGATAGTACGAGGAGGAGACGAGAAATTATGGGCAATTGTGGGCCTAGATGAAGAAGACGGCAGAGAATAGAACAAAATGGAAATGGGTTGTAGAAGTCATTTGTTCAAGTCAAAACCTAGTGGAACAATAATGATATAATGTAATAACGCAATGAGGATATGGACATATCCCGGTGACGACTACCAACTTTGAGAGGGAGGAAAAGTGCATCATAAATTTCATTGGACACTCGCCAACATAACAGTAACCTTGGGTTTCTAATCCTTATAATTTCGAGGTATCAAATGCAGGGGCCGGCCCGTATAACAAAACTTCGAGATATATCAAAGGGAAATAAATCATAATACATGAATAAATAGCAAAAATTGTTGTTTTCCACTAAATTAACACTACACTCTGCACAGAATTGTAGACGTTCAACTAAACACACTTCATAAAGCACAAAAAATGAAGAAAAAGGACTAAAATGAGATTCAGAATTACTGTAATTAGAAGAAATCTAACGGGAGAAAGATTAGTATCGTGGAAAACAAAGAATAATGGTTTAATGAATATAGGAGATTAATGAAAACAAAACAAGTAGTTCAACAGAGAGGCTGCTCCTTTGTGGCGGATTCATTTTCCCCACTTAGCTGTATAATCACATGTAGACACATTTTGCTTCATGAAAGGCGGAAGTGACAAAAGTGATGAATTCTTACAAGCATAGTAGTCATTATTAGACATATTTCTTGACTTGAAGGCGGCCTTCGACTCCGTGGATCGAAAGGTACTATGGCAATGTCTGACTGTGAAGGGAGTGCCAAGAAAATACATTGCACTAATCAAGGCACTCTATTCAAACTCACGTAGTCGTGTAAGGGCTTATGGGGAATTGTCATCTGAATTGATAACAACCAGTGGTGTCCGACAAGGATGTCCACTTTCCCCATTTCTGTTTAACTTCATCATAGATATGCTAATGGAAGTATCCTTAACTGAACTTAACGACTTAGGAATCGAATTGTTACCAGGGAATAGTCTTATGGACTTAGAATATGCAGATGACATAGTCCTGTTAGGGGAGGCTTCTGACAAAATGCAGAGTCTTCTGAACACCTTCAGCAGCAATCTTCTTATGTTTGGCATGCGATTCGCCCCTGCAAAATGTAAGATGCTGCTACAGGACTGGACTACGTCAACTCCTAGCTTGGTGATAGGGAGTGAAGTGATAGAACATGTTGACCACTTCACCTATTTGGGAAGTTGCATCAGCACCAAAGGACTGATTAGCGATGAAATCTCAGCACGGATCCCAAAAGCTCGAGCTGCTTTCGCTGACTTACACCATCTCTGGCGTAGGCGTGACATCCGGTTATCAACCAAGGGACGTGCGTACTACTCAGCAGTTCGCTCCGTCCTTCTCTATGGCTCTGAAACATGGTCAATACGAGTTGAAGAAATGAAAAGGTTGACTGCTTTCGATCATAGATGTCTGCGATCTCTTTCTCACGTTAGGTGGTTTCATAAGATAAGTAATGTTGACGTTAGGCGTAGAGTGTTGGGCAAACAGGGAAAATCAATCGACGAGGCTATAAAGTTACATAGATTGAGATGGCTAGGTCACGTGCTGCGAATGCCTAACAATCGCCTCCCCCGACGGGCAATACTATCTGATATAGGTGCAGGTTGGAAAAGAGTAAGTGGTGGCCAAACAAAAACATGGCCTCATCAATCCATGAAATCCTTGACAGTTAAAATGAATCAGGTAAGGAGATGCAGACTTCCGAGTTGGGGCTCTCGGGACTCTAGGAATCAATGGCTGGAGACAATAGGTGACATGGCTCAAAATCGTTGTCAATGACAGCGCAGATGTATTCAGTCTCTGTAATCTTTCATATTCCTTTCTACCATTACCCATTCTGTTCCGCTCTTATACCTGTCAAACTCTATTGATTCTCTTCACTCATCTTCTTGTCTACCTCTGTGTGCTATTTGGAAGGTGGCAACTCGAAGTGCTGCACTTGGGTGCCAAGTTTTATGTTGAATCCAGACAGACAGACATTATTAGACATTAATACATAAGAGAGGCGTTGAAAAAATGTACTTGAGTTCCACAATATTATGAATATTTCAATGAATGCGCTGTAGTCAGGAATAAGATAGAAACGAAGGAAAGTAAGAAATTATGTAAGAGTTCTGAAGTAATTCAAGAGTTATAAGGAGAGAGAAAAAGAAGTACACAAAAAAGTTAGTGAAAATCAATAAAGTTGTTACCATGTATTATCTACTGCTGCTGAGTGAGTTATTAGAGTTTTCCCCGTCGCCAATTATGTTATGCACTCGTCGAGTAGTTAATAGTCCTGACGCGGAAAGAGGGAAATTTGAAGACCACCAGGTATACGATGATACTTGTATTTTCGAAACAAGGAAAATAAATGTCACACTAGTGTGTGAGTGGAGGGATACTTGAATGTAGGAAATGTGTGTGAACCAGGATAATGTACAAGTGTCTAATACAAAAGCATATATGAAAATGACCAATATACATGAACCAATAGATAACGTCTTACCATGATTGGTTGTAATGTCATGTGATAACAAGGTCATACATTGTTTATTTAGTTAGTGGACAGACAAAAGCATAATGTCAGTTATAACGGAATATCGATCCATATACATATAGCAAAATATAACAGACAGTCAAAAAACAAAACACATCAAGTGGATACATATCACCATGACAGTAAGAGTGGCTGAATAACTTCCTTTTGTATGTATAGTTGTGATTTCTCTTACTGAATACCTAGAGCCTCAGCAATGCAGAGGAAACGAAAGCGCATCGCCTTTGGTACGTTATTTTTCACTTTGTATATGACTTGTACGAAGGCATTTGTTCAGACGGAATGACCAGTGTTGATAAGGTGCTCGATAATCACACTTCTTATGGAACCACAACCAACTTTCTGTAACCATGTGGGATACCGTTCTTGAATCCTTTTAGACAGGGTATGCTTTGAACGACCGATTTACCTGGCTCTACAGCAACAGGTAAACAGAAGTGGTCAGGTACAACATCTTGTTCTTAAGGATTTAGCAGACCCATAAAAGAATGGACAGCAATACTCTTAACGTTGCTGCAAAGATTTATTCAACTGATTCTATTATCACGCGTTGATTTCTACGGACTTGGATTTCATTTCTTCGTGTTTCTTACATCTTATAACTCTTGAATTTCTTCACCACTCTTACACAATTCCTTACTTTCCTTCGTTTCTATCTTATTCCTGACCGCAACTCATTCATTGAAATATTCATCGAATTTTGGGACTCTAGTACACTGTTTCAACTTTTCTCTCTTATGTATTATTGTCCAATAATGACTACTATGCTTGTAACAATTCATCACTTTTGTCACTTCCGCCTTTCATGAAGCAAAAATGTGTCTACATGTGATTATACAGCTAAGTGGGGAAAATGAATCCGCCACAAAGGAGCCTCTTCACTGAACTACGTGTATATGTCTTCACTAATATCTACATGAAGATTATTCATGCATATGGAACATCACAGAGTGGATTTACAATAAGATGATATTGAACTACATTACTTGGGTTTTAGCATCTCTAGAAACACAACCAGGTAGCCTACACCTCTTCGT